ATATCAAATGTCCACTGCGAAAGTGTACTTCTCACTTTAAGATGTCTAAAGTGACTCTGAATTCTGATTACTTCAACGAGATCCACATTGTCAGTAAGATCAGCAAGTCTCATTTCATCTTCCCAGACCAGTTCACGTTAGTTAATTCACCTTCACTAATCAGTTCACGTTCAGTAATCACTTCACATTCACTAATCACTTCACCTTCACTAATCATTTCACCATCACTAATAAGTTCACGCTCACTAATCAGTTCACCTTCACTAATCAGTTCACCTTCACTAATCACTTCATCTTCACTAATCATTTCACCTTCACTAATCATTTCACTTTCACTAATCATTTCACCTTCACTAATCATTTCACCTTCACTAATAAATTCACGCTCCCTAATGAGTTCATCTTCACTAATCATTTCACCTTCACTAATCATTTCACCTTCACTAATCACTTCTTCCTCACTAATCACTTTATGCTAGGGTAAATAATCGTAATTCTTTGACAAAATAAGACCGCTGCACTAAACTGAACCAGTACAAACCCAGAACGTAAGTTCGAAATTAAAAGCAAGTTTGGTGCCAAATTATATCTTATATTGGACGTTTCATTTGATTCAGTAGAATGTAGTATCGTCACTAACTTCACCACAGCACAATTATGTCTGTCGCCAGCCTTCAAAAGAAACAATTTGTTTCGTTAACAAAACCGAGTCTCAAGTTTCTAGCGCTATCAAAAAGCTTCTTAGTTAACATATAATGGTCCAAGGCTATAAATCGTAGTTCTGACATTTATAGTTCTTTTTTACAAGCGGCGAGTCAAGTGCAGATAGCTTCTAAGTGGCGGCATAAGTGGTATTGACGGTACAGTATAAACTCTTTATTAAAATTCAGATTATGGTAACAGGTTTAAACAGATGAATTAGTCATAAGAGCACAGTTTTTTATTGTTCAAGTTTACAGGTTAAAAGATGAATTAGTAAAACGAGCACAGCACTGTAAAAGTTCAACTCCCGCACAGACCGGAGTCACATAATGCCACGTACACATTTTTCAACCATCGAAAAGTCCGCTAGGTCTAACAAAATTGCTATCTAAAATTATAATAACAAATTATTTACTTAAAAATCTAGATGAGATCATGTAAGAAATTCTGATAAATTCAAATGGTAGCGTGAGACAAGCGAAGTCCACGGTAATTATATTCAAACTAGGGCGTCAAATATTCAAACTAGGGCGTCGATAACGAATAAGTTGACGAATTGCAGCTGAATCCGTTGCGATTTTAAGACATTTGTGTAATGGTATTTTATTATTTAATTTCCAAGAAAATACTACAATGACGGTAAATAAGGTTTTTCTATTGAATTCTTAAGTATATTTAATTTCCAAGAAAATACTACAATGACGATAAATAAGGTTTTTCTATTGAATTCTGAAGTATTTTTCAATAGAAATTGTTTATGGGTTTTGATGATCATTTTGATATGCAATTAGCTCCCACAGAAGTCCCACGGCATCCATTTCTCTACAGATCCATGGCATAAATGGCCTCTACTGGAATATTCCTATCAATACACAAGAATTTTTATATAAATTTGTTGCAAGCACGGTCTCTAGTGAAATATTCCCATCAATACATAAGAATTTCTCTAGAGATCCGTTGAATAAATGGACCCTAGGATAATAGTGGTACCATTAGATGAGAATTTCTCTATAAATTCGTTGCATTAACAGCATATCGATCAAAAAGTCGCGTTGGTTTCCTGAGATTTACGCAGCGCAGCAAGTGTGGGAAGCGGGGCAGGAGCAGACCGTGATTGAAGGCTGCAGAGTCCGCGGTTGCGGATTAGCGATCAATTCCGTCCTCCGCGTCACGCAATCTATCCTTACCTTAATGGACTGAATCATATATAAGGTTATTTGTAATGGTTCGAATCACTTGTAAAGTTAATAATGAGGATCAAATCATACTAAGCGGCTAGGTTTATGGACAATTCGAATCACTTGTAAAATAATAATGATGATCAAATCTTATTAAACGTTTATTTTATGGACAATGTTAATTTCCATGCACTTTCGCAAGTTCTTGGAAACTAATAGAAAGAAAGTGAGAAAGTATGCCTATAGAGTGCAAAGATAAATGTGTAAATGAGCTGTTGATAACATTTTGGATAGGGATATAAATAAAACAAATTTACTGGTGCGAATTACTGTGCAATGTGTTGTGAATGTGCTATGATGATGTAAATGTTTAAATTAAGCTAATTAGGAAAATATTCTTTGTAAACTTCAAGTTTTTAATCCATAATTAAACTGTGTGTTCTTGAGGTATTAAACTGGATGAAAATCAGAACAAATGAATACTGGATAAAAAAAGAATGGATATTGTCCTTTTAACGGAAGTTTTTATTTAATACCCATTATCAAATCTAGAAATGATATAGAAAATAATTATTGCAGCACGGAGAATTTTTATTGTTTTGAATCACATTGCTATGCAGTAAATATTGAAGACGGGTTAGAAATCGTCATAATATTGGCCACTGCGTTCAATAAGAAGCAATTATGGGAAAGCGCCTCTTAATGGAACGACCGTCGGTATTGGTGCAACGTATGATAGTGTGATGGTAAATGATAGTGTGATGGGTAAATGATAGTGTGGTCCACTTAGACTTTAATAAGCCTTTCCTCGTGCTCACACAGGGCTGTGATGATGGTGAGAATTATTATGACGATAGTGAGTATTATTGTGATGACGGTGAGAATTGTCTAGAAAATATTCTGTTGAGGCGTCCAGAATGAAAATAATGTAAAGGGTATCCAGTGGGGTATCCAGTTTAAAAAACATGCTTTATGTCCATAGTGCATGACGATATATGATGTGTAGAAGTAGACAGAGATGTCCAGTCACTCCAGTGTCGAAAATATTGAAGACGTGCAGAACTAATGGGATTTCCAGGTTGGAAAATATCGATAATGAGGAATGAATGTCTTTTACAAGCAAATAAAACACGAGAATGCAGAAGTGCGTCGTGAATGTGTGAATGTACACGCATAAGCGCATTTCGCGACTGTGTGAATGTACAGCTAACTTCGTCTGTCGCGACCGTGTGATCGTAAAAAATATGCGACCGTGGACGAACGAGAAAATGTGTAATAATATGTACTATGTATAATAACTGGCAGACACACATAGCTCTGACTGACAGGAATGGCCACGGACAATAATTGTGATAGTTGCGCTGGCAAATCAGGGCCGGAAGTAAAGCCATGTCGGCGTTAATCCGTCACCGATAATTAGGGACATGCCGGCGCTAATCCGGTGCCTAATTAGAAACATGTCGGCGCTAAACCGGCGCTGAGAATTGAAGATATGCCGGCGCTAATTCGGTGCCGATAGTTAGGGACATGCCGGCGCTAATCTTGCGCCGATAATTAAGGACATGCCTACGAAAATCCGATGCTGATAATTAAGGACATGCTGGTGCTAATCCGGTGCCTAATTAGAAGCATGCCGGCACTGAGAATTAGAGATATGCCGACGCAAATTCGGTGCCGATATTTAGGGACATGCCGGCGCTAATCTTGCGCCAATGTTTAGGGACATGCCGGCGCTAATCTTACGCCAATGTTTAGGGACATGCCGGCGATAATCCGAGCCTAATAATTAGGGACATATTGGTGCTCATCTGGCGACGAAATTTAGGGACATGCAGGCGCTAATCCGATAATGATAATTAGCGAGATGCTGGCGGTAATAATTAGGAACATGCCGACTCTAATCCGGCGCCGATAATTAGGGTCATGCAGGCGCTATTCCGGCGCCGGGACCGCGTCGGAAGTGCGTGCGGGACTAGCACGGGCAGAGCGACGTAAATTTCCTGGGACCTTCGTGATCGTGCGTCGTGAATCGTACGTCGTGATCGTGCATCGTGGATCGTGCGTCGTGGATCGTGCGTCGTGATCGTGCGTCGTGATCGTTTATCGTGGATCGTGTATCGTGCGTCGTGGTCGTGGATCGTGTATCGTGGGTCGTGCTCATGTATCGTGGATCGTGCGTCGGGCTCGTGGATCGTGGATCGTGCGTCGTGGTGATGGATCGTGATATTGATATAATTTGTTAATCGGGTATTTATAAAGAGTAATGAATATAAGAAACAATACGAGATATGCAGAATGAATACATAATAAAATAACTTCAGAAATGTCAAGAAGGGAAATGAAACAATCGAAGAGATATATGAAATTAAAATTCGTCTTAAATTTGTAACATTTTAAATAAAATAATTCAGCATTCAAATTCAGAGACATGAATTCTATGATCGGATACCGAGAGTTAAGTATTACTATGTAACAGCTGGTATATAAGTTAACGAACATCAGTGTGGATAATTAACGACTAGTTAATTATCTAATTGGACTCTTAATGAGGACATCAATAATGCGCTCATGCAATTTGAAATACTGTATTACTATTAAACATTATTATTTTTTAATATGAATAATGATGCCAATCCAAGGCATTGCACGTAAAGGCTATGTCGGCAAGGCACTCAAAAATACGATTTTTCTTCCCTTTATTATCCTCGCAAGCTGAAAATTACAAGAGAAAATAATCCTTGCCTGAGACATAGCGACAACTTGTAAATAATAAAATAGAAATTGGCACAAACTAACACGAGATAATTTCAAAGTCACGCTAGGCTCGTGGCAGCGGTCGGTCGCGAATATTCTGGACGACACGATCAGGTCGTAGGGTATATATTTCCAGTACATGAAGCAGATATTTACAAATAAAAATATATTATAAAACAGATATTTGCCACTGAAGGTATTACACACAGGATTAACTGCACCCAGCAGTGAAAAATACTTGCAGCAGTGATTTTAGCCACTAGACGATGCAGTGAATTGATTAGTTCTACCGTTGACATTATTCAGCGACGTATTAAGTAAATTATAAATAGTAGCAAATTGTAGTAAATATTATAAAATGAATTTTATAATAAGTTAATAACAAATTAGAATGACAATACATTTAAAAAATGTCTTAATATAATGAATACGGTTATTATATGACGTGCAGTCATTCCTGCAGGCGAATATTCGTCAGCCAGTCATTGAAAGTTCGTTGGCCACCCTTACACCGCCTATAGTTCAGTTACACTCAGAGAAGATATTGAGAATTTGTTCAAATTACGATACACTTTTTGTTCCTGTGTTGATCTTCCTGACCCAGTTTTGCCCGGCAAAAGGGTGCATCAGTGCTACGTTAGTTCTTTGCTTCCGCTCTTCTTACTGAGGTCACTATCTGGATAATTTAACCCATCCATTTTCTGAGTGTTCAATTGAGATTAAAAAACTCACCAAGCGACGCTTTCCCTGTGCATTTTTGTTTTTCTGATCAAATCTCTTTTCTTGACGCCATTTAACTTTCCTACATCTTCTTCATCTATTAAACTCTTTTCTCCTTCTCTTTGCCCAACTTTCTTTTCGACGTCTTTTTCAGTGTTCTTCAAAATACTGTTTCCCTCTTGCCTCTTCTTCCACTCACCCTTCTCATCCCCAACGAAACCCACACTTTTTTCCCTTACGTAATCCACGCCTTTTTTCACGCAGTAATCCTTCGTGTAATCCTGCAGCCTCGTCATAATACTGCAGTGCCCATTTTCCTTGGCATGATCATAGGCCGTGAAATTGTACATATCCTTGATCGTAGGATTCGCGCCGCGGTCCAATAGTATTCGTACGAGGGACTCGTTGCCGAACCTCGCAGCGAGGTGCAGTGGGGTTAGCCCGCTGATGTCCACCAGGTCAATTTCCGCACCGCTCCCCAGTAGGATGTACAGGTCCGACATCACGGAGAACTTGCCTGCGCGTACAAAAAAAAAATGTAATCGGGTTTTAAGTGCAGAAAATGGAAAGTTTATTTCTAGTTTATAGCAAAATGTATAAAAATTTAGATATACAATATATAAATATGGAAAATTTCAAATTGAAATTAAATTTCTTGCCTGCACATACGAAGAAAAACTTTTTCAATAAATGTTGAATGCGCTTAAGGATATTTTTCTAGAGATGAAAATTCGATTTCGAATCGAAATGTCCAAAGCCGTTACAATAGAATTACATGCGTTTTATGCTCTGAATGTACTGAATGAATCAAACCTTTTCATATATTAAATGAGTATACTACATGCATGCACCGAATGCAATAAATACACTACATGCATGCACTAGATGCACTAAATGTACTAGATGCACTATATGCATTAGATTCACAGGATGCACTAGATGCCCTACATGCAACAGATGCACTAAATGCACTAGATGCACTAGATGCACCAGATGCACTATAGATGCACCAGATGCACCACATGCACTAGATGCACTTGATGCACCACATGCACGATATGCACTAGATGCACTAGATGCACCAGATGCACTAGATGCACCAGATGCACTATATGCACTAGATGCACTAGATGCACTAGATGCACTAGATGCACTAGATGCACTAGATGCACTAGATGCACTAGATGCACCACATGCACCACATGCACCACATGCACTATATGCACTAGATGCACTTACTAGCGGCGTAGTGTAGGGGCGTGCGCCCCAGTCTGTCCCTGGAGGCGTGGGGGGCGCCGCGCTTCACCAGCAGCCGCAGCAGCGCGTCTGAGCCCCCCCACCTGAGGGGGGGGGTGATTAATTGGTAATTATCAAAATATTTTGATGGTTGATAATTATCGAGCATCTCTTGATGATTAATGGCTTTAATCAAATTTATCTTTCTTTATAAATAATTTTTAATATTAGATCCCCTAATCATTTCTTTTATTAGCTTATTATATTATATAATATTGTTAAATCATCCACGAATCAAAATAATTTGAATCAAAATCCAAATTTTCAACTATCTCAATTATATAATTATTTAATAATGAGACCATTTATATTTTAGAACATTTTACAACGAGACCGAGATTTCCAAATAGCGAATTATATTATAGTTAAAATAAATCCAGTTTATTTTATAAATAAATTTTCTTTTCCGCATTAATAATAATGATCAATAACAAGTTCATTTACAAAAATACTTTCAAATGTCAATTTAATTTTGCAAATAAATAATTTTTTAAATGTAATAACTTCCGTATATCAATTATATATCGTAAATTACTTCATTTTTCAAGTTATCTTAATTTTGTCACTCAATTAGCATATCTTATTCAATTTAATTTTGTAAATAAATTTAGCACTGAAGCGTTCACTCATAAAAATAAATGATTCATAAATATTTACACCCTTTTTGTTCGTAGCAACTGTACGAATTTTCAACGAGCCAAACTGGGTCAGGATGACCCATACAAAAGCCAAAAGTGCATCGAAATATGGACAAAGTCCCACATATTTCTCAGTGTGAAGGGGTCGCCTGCCGAAGACCACCACTGCCCTGGATGTAATGGACCATCATGATTCCTGCCTTCCGGAACGTAGCCTTCCACACTTCAAGCCGTCCGTATCTAGGCCGTGGGTCGAACCAGCCCTCGGTCGAACGGCCACTTGTCGAAGGACGATAAATTTTGGAACAGAACTATGCTATCTGAAACCTAACCTCAGATGCGGTGAACGTAAAATTACGTAATTCAACAATGCCTGGAAGTCATATTCGATCCGCGGCCTGGTGATGCACGGCAGGTGGTGGTCAAGGCCAGAAGAGGACAAAGCCGAGTGGTGCACGGCTGATTGGTGTAGGTCCGGAGAGATCCAAGGCGTTCGATTCAGGGCCTGTCTCTTATACACATCTAGATGTGTATAAGAGACAGAAGCCGAGTGGTGCACGGCTGATTGGTGGATGTCCGGAGAGATCCAATGCGTTCGATTCAGGGCTTATTGGTGCACAAAATTGGTGGTGCACGGCTGCGCTCCCGTGTGGAGAGACAGTTCACCTGACGGCGTAGTGCAGGGGCGTCGCCCCCTTGTTGTCGCCCCTGGCGATGGCGGCGCCCCCCGCGATGAGGGCGCCCGCGAGGTCCTCGTGACCCTGGGCGATGGCGGCGTGCAAGGGCGCCGCCCCCCCGCCGTCCCTGCAGTTTACGTCCCACCCTGAGGGCGGTGGGGTACGTCAGTCACTCAGGTAAATTATTGGGTAATATTGACCAAATAATGACAATGACACGCGCTTTTGTGGTGAGATGGGATTAAAATGAACAAGAAAATGGGGTAAAGTGTATGTTATTTTAATGACTGACCTACCCATGTCATGGCTGACCCACCCATGTCATGGCTGACCTGGCTGACCCACATGGCTGACCCACCCACGTCATGGCTGACCCACCCATGTCATGGCTGACCCACCCATGTAATGGTTGACCCACCCATGTCATGGCTAACCCACCCATGTCATGGCTGACCCACCCATGTCATGGCTGACCCACCAATGTCGTGGCTGACCCACCCATGTCATGGCTGACCCACCCATGTCATGGCTGACCCACATGGCTGACCCACCCATGTCATGGCTGACCCATCCATGTCATGGCTGACCCACCCATGTCATGGCTGACCCACATGGCTGACCTACATGGCTGACCCACCCATGTCATGGCTGACCCACCCGTGTCATGGCTGACCCACATGGCTGACCCACCCATGTCTAGCAGCAGTTGAGTGGTCGTGAGGCAGCCGAAGGCAGCGCACGCGTGAAGGATGGAGCTGCCTTCCTCAGCCACATGGCTGACGCCGCACCTGCCATGAGCCATTCAGCCATGTACAAGCAGCCATGTACATCATAAAATCAGCCATTGTATGCAGCCATTTACATGCTGCCATTACAAATATATAATAAAAACTTACATGAGCTAGTTAATATTGTCGTACAATAATTGAGATTGTTCAATATTTATTTCAGTATAACTACACAGTAAAATTTATTGATCACTTTAATACGAAACCAATCTTCCAACATACAATAATATTGACTGGAGCTAAAATATTCCGTCACAGGATATTGCCATCAAGAAACATAATTACAATAATGTTCGTTAAAATATTTGAATAACCAAAATAATACAAAAATGTGAATAAATATTTAGAATCTAACATTGCGACCCTCAGAAAAATGAGTGGCTTATATTGTCCAAATATTTAAACGCTATTTTACCCAAAGCACGAAGAAAGAACGGACGTAACACATATACGCTCTTTTGCGACCAAACCGGGTCAGGATGACCCACACAAGGACAAAAATTGCACCGACTATTTAGTCAAAGTCCCACTCATTTCTCTGAGAGTAACATGGAGAAATTATTTTATAGGCGGCGTATGGGCGACCACCTGATGAGGGCGGCGAAGGCGGCCATCCTGCGGCCATGCAGAGCGTGCTGCGCGTAGCTCTTGTTGTGGCTGACGACGTAAACGTCAGCACCGTGCTGTACCAGCGCCTCTACCACCGCTGCACTGTCAGCACTGTCAGAAAAACAATGTCATTAAGACATTGTCCTTGGTATAGTTAGTTTGTGTTTTGAATTATAGTTAGTTTGTGTTTAGGACGTTGCAGTCCCAGGCCACGCTGAGGCTCCGCTTAAGCATTCCGCCGCCTTCAGTTTCGGCAGACAAGTCGCCCTCTCCGCCGAGGTCTCAGGAGCACTCCATGATCACCGCGCATCTGCCCTCAGTTGAACCTGCTGGGTGCCCTAAGTTGGGTCAGCTGATGCCCTCAGTTGAGTCAGCTGATGCCCTAAGTTGGGTCAGCTGATGCCCTCAGTTGAGCCAGCTGATGCCCTCAGTTGGGCCAGCTGATGCCCTCAGTTGGGCCAGCTGATGCCCTCAGTTGGGCCAGCTGATGCCCTCAGTTGGGCCAGCTGATGCCCTCAGTTGGGCCAGCTGATGCCCTCAGTTGGGCCAGCTGGGTGCCCTAAGTTGGGCCAGCTGATGCCCTCAGTTGGGCCAGCTGATGCCTTTAGTTCAGCCAGCTGATACCCTCAGTTGGGCCACGAATGGTGCCCAAGAAGACGTCCAGTCTCTTGTAGGTTTCCACAAGGGACTCCACCTCTCTTAAATCCTTTGGCAAGACGTTAAGCAGCCTCGGTCTCGCCACGGAAAGAGATCCTTCCCACAGAGATTTAAATCTGGCTACAAATCTGTTACGTGGTGGGGGATGCTGCACAGTCTCCCTCTTCTCTTGTAATGGTATGTCACAATCCTGGATATCTCGCTTTCGAAATTTGGTGCCAGTCCGGTTATTATTTATAATATATTGTACAGTAGTGAGTACAGGTCCAGACGCTCCAGTCTCCACCAGTAGTTCAGCTCATCCATCACGGTGATCCTTGACGTGAAGGTTCGCTGGACCGCATCCAATAGCCGCACTGCACCGAGCTTGAACGGGGTCAAAAACAGGCAGTAGTACTCAAGGAGAGGGATCACCTGGCTGTAAAAAGGGTCCAAAGCTGGTAGCAGTTTTAAAAGAGTGGGATCACGAGGGTTCTGCATGATCATCGGTTCCACTTCTCTATTTCCGAACGTTTATACGTCTGATCCACCCAATCTGTCGAATAACTCTAGCGGTTATTGCCGCCACGTGATTGCCAAACTTATCAGGAGTACTCATCAAAACTCCAAGATCGCAAACGAGTTCTTCTCGTCGATTTCTGTGCCGTTCGGTGCCAGATAGCGGAGCTCCACACAAGCTCCTCCGCTACCTCTTTATCTCAGCACCTAAAACTAGTTTCCGTTGAATTTCATCTTGTACACTTGGGCCCAGACCAATACAAACTGGCTCAGTCAGTGAAATCTCAACCTGATCCATGGCGTCCTTACCGTCCTTAGCTTACTTTACCCCTGCCGTCTCACCAGTTTAATGTCATCCGTGTCGTCCCTGCCATACTAGAAGTCCCTACCTGATAGCGGCATGCAGGGGGGTGGCGTCCCTGCCGTCCTTACCATCCATGCCGTCCTTGCCGTCCTTGTCATCCCTGCCGTCCCTGCCGTCCTTGTCATCCCTGCCGTCCCTGCCGTCCTTGTCATCCATGCCGTCCCTACCGTCCTTGTCATCCCTGCCGTCCCTGCCGTCCTTGTCATCCATGCCGTCCCTGCCGTCCTTACCATCCCTGGCGTCCCTACCTGATGGCGGCGTGCAGGGGGGTGGCGTCCCTGGCGTCCCTACCTGATGGCGGCGTGCAGGGGGGTGGCGTCCCTGGCGTCCCTACCTGATGGCGGCGTGCAGGGGGGTGGCGTCCCTGGCGTCCCTGCCGTCCCTACCTGATGGCGGCGTGCAGGGGGGTGGCGTCCCTGGCGTCCCTGGCGTCCAGGTTCGCCCCAAGTCTGGCCAGGGCGTGGACGGCGTCGCCCCGTCCACCGCCCGCCGCCAAATGTAGTGGCGTCCTCCCCTGCCGGTCCTGGCAATTGTGCACGCTTTTAATACCAATACAAATAATTTATTTATTATGTGAAAAATATTGTTTTGTGTTTAAATGTTGTATTGATGTTTAAATAAGTATTTTAAAAATTGTGCGCGATTTTGATACAAATACCAAATAATTTATTTCTTATGTAAAGATTTTTTTTCGTGTTTAAATTTTTTATTGATGTTTAAAAAATTATTTAAATACTAAATTATCATATAAATAGTGCTTTTATTGTTTTAATATTTTATTTATTGTTTATAAAGGAAATTGAAAATAGGTAGAGACTATTAAATATAATGGAAAGTCGTAATAAAATAAAGTATTTGTGAATTTAATTGCTACCGAAAAGTATATTGAAAATTCAATGGAAGATTTATACAATTTACAACGTTATTGAAAGTTTGTTCAGCAATTGAAAAGTAAAATTTTTTAGTCAACTTCACCCTGGAGTTGACTGGAGCACCACACTCCACTCACCCTGGAGTTGACTGGAGCACCACACTCCACTCACCCTGGAGTTGACTGGAGCACCACACTTCACTCACCCTGGAGTTGACTGGAGCACCACACTTCACTCACCCTGGAGTTGACTGGAGCACCACACTTCACTCACC